AACTTATCAACAGAACCCAAAACCAAAGTTTCATTTTTTTTTCTATCTCAAGCAAAAAATCCAAAAGCAGTTTCCATGTAGAAACAAAATTGCGTTCTTTTCTTTAATTAAGGCAGTCATTTATCCATCTCTGCTAACTCCATCAGGTTTTACAGCCATTTGTCCCTTGTGGGAATGAAAATATCCTTCCATTCTTCTGCATAAAGCATTCTTGCTGTTGTCAACACATATAGAATCAAAGTTACATATTTTTTTCCCCAAGTGCTTTATCCATTAAACCTAAAAGAAAAGTCTCTGGTTTTATCTTTATATTCACTTTAAGACACTTCTATACTATGATGTGAATCCTACTCCAATATTTCGTTGTTTTGTCAGATGTCCACGCTAAATGATAAAAAGCTCTTCTTTACATTTCCAACATTAATTTGAAGTGCCTTTATACATTCTGGACAATTTGTATACCAACAATACATCATCTTATAAAAGTTTTCCTTTAAGTTATACTTTAATGTGGATTTTAGAACTTTTGTCCATCTCGCATTGTTGATGCCTTATGTCAGGGGTGTCAAACTCAATTTCACTGAGGGCCGCATCAGCATTGCGGTTGCCCTTGGGGGGGCCGGGTGGGTGTGGCCAGAGTGGGTGCAGCCTACTGGATGGGTGTGGATGGAGTGGGTGTGGCCTACTGGGTGGGCGTGGCCAGTTCTACATCATTCGCGTCAAGGGTGCCTGTGGGGGGCTCGGCAGGAGTGGGACAGATCTGAGGGTCTCTGGCAGAAGGGAGTGGGACCAGGGCAAGTGCCAAGATGGCCACCACAAAATTGTACATTGGCTTCCGGCTGCCCTGGGCCAGGGCCAAGGCAGTGGGGGCCGTTTCCTCACTGTTCCCAGGATATCTTCGCGGGCCACATGAAACCACTTCGTGGGCCTCATCCGGCCCCCGGGCCTTGTGTTTGACATGTCTGCCTTATGTTATATGCAAAGTTCTTTGCCCACTGAATCATACAGTGCTTTACATACTCATTCTCCAAGTTCAATTTCAAGTACAGTTTATAAAACTTAGCAATAATATATTCATCACTATGATACAATAGCTTTTCCACTTCATTTTTCACAAAATGAAATCCATAGCTCTTTTTGTCTAGTTTGAATCTTTCTTTCAATTGCAGATATGTAAACCAATGGCAAATACATCCTTCTGATTCCAACTGCTCTTTATAGATTTTAAAATAGGGTCACCATAATTTAACATTATTATTTGACCATAAGTCCACCCGTCTGGCCTCGCCACCATTTTTCTAAAAACTTCCTGGGGAAATATCCAAAGAGGAAGGCACGTTTAAAACAAAGTGATTATTAAAATCAACATTTGCTTTAACCCAGCACACCATAAATAGTTGTGCCATCCAAATCTTAATTCATGGCTGTCAAGCTTGAGGAATCTGTTATTTTGGAGAGTAGCCCACTTTTTTTGCCACACAAAATAACAATAATCAAGGACAATTTCAAATTCGGTAAACCCAAACCTCCTCTTTCCCTTAGCATCTTGTAATAATTTATATTTACTTCTTGGTTTTTCCCTTGCCGTATAAACTTAGACATGACCATCTGCCATAGCTGAAATGGAGTATCAATGACAAGTTTTAGTAAAGTGAGGGTGAAGGTTCATTCTCCGAGCTTGTGGGTTGGTTTTCAAACCTTTCATTACCAGGCTAGGTAACGTCTTTGATGGAGTTTAGGACAAGAGTAGGCAACCTTGACTCTTTTATGACTCGTGGACTTCAACTCCCAGAATGCCTGAGCCAGCCATGCTGAGGGGAAAGGGAGAGGTTTCCAAGCTGAGCCGTGCTGGCTCAGGAATTCTGGGAGTTGAAGTCCACAAGCCATAAAAGAACCAAGATTGCCTACCCCTGGTTTAGGAGATGTCAGTGTCAGTGTTCTGTTTATGAGGGCTTCAGTTGTGGGTGTTCAAGTGAGGGCCTTGTGATGGGTCAGGTGTGGGTCATCAGTGAAGTCTTGTGATTTGTCTTGTGATTGGGAGGTTACATCAGGTCAGGGGTCATTGGAGGTGAACTGCTGGTGGGAGGGGGGCTTACATAGGTTGGTTGAGGGTCAATGCTATCTATAGTTTGCTGTAAGGTCAATTTGGATTCTGAAGGGTTCGTAGGCTGGTTTCCCCGAAAGTAAGACCTACACTGAAAATAAGCCTTAGCTTGATTTTTGGGGGTGGGCCTAGTATAACCCCTAGCCCCAAAATAAGCCCTAGTTTTAGGGTGAGGTACACATCTAAAAATCAAACTAGGATGGGGGCGGGGTGTGGAGCTGCCCCATGCTCCCCGTATCCACTTGCATCCAGGCCTCTCCTCACTGGTCCACTTCTTCTGCAGCATCCCCAGGCCTGCATTCCACAGTCAGAGGTCTTTCCAGAAGGCCTCTGCAGCCGAGAACTGAGCTATGGATGGAATCGGTTCTCAGCTGCAGAGACCTTCCGGAAAGGCCTTTGACTACGAAATGCAGGCCAGTGCTCCATTCTCAGCTGCCGAATGAACCTACTCCTTTGGCTGCAGAAGATATTGGCCAGCTGGGCAGGGCTATCGGCGCTGGAGGTGAGTGGAAAAGACATCACCACCACCACCACCACTGTGAAAATAAGACCTGGTGCCTTGTTTGGAGGCAAAAATAATAATAATAATAATAATAATAATAATAATAATAATAATAATAATAATAATAATAATAATACCGGGTCTTACTTTCAGGGAAACACAGTAGTCAAAATTTCTGTTTATGCAATTGCTTGTGTAGTGCCAGTCTTCGATGAACTCATGAGCATGGCGGGTGGTAGCATGGCCAATGATTTTTGTGTTGCTCCAATCAAACTGGTTTGTTGTTTGGTGTGGGTGTGGTTGATAAACTCTAAAACAGAAAATGCATTTTTGGTAATTAGGGGGCTGGAGGCTAAAATACAAAGAATGGTTACAGGAATTAGATATGTCTAGTCCAGGGGTAGACAATTTTGGCTCTTTTATGACTCGTGGACTTCAACTCCCAGAATTCCTGAGCCAACATGGCTCAGCTTGGAAACTCTCCCTTTCCCCTCAGCCTGGCTGGCTCAGGAATTCTGGGAGTTGAAGTCCATGAGTCATAAAAGAGCCAAGGTTGCCTACCCCTGGTCTAGTCTAATGAGAAGGACTAGGGGAGACATGATAGCAGTGTTCAATAGAAGAAGCAATGGGTGGAAACTAACCAAGGAGAGAAGCAACTTAGAACTAAAGAGAAAATTCCTAAAATTAGAGCAATCAATCAATGGAACAGCTGGGCTTCAGAAGTTGTGTGTGTTCCATCACTGGAGGCTTTCAAAAAGAAACTCAACAGCCACTTGTCTGAAATGGTATAGAGCTGTGGTGGGGAACCTATGGCACGCACCGTCACCCCAGTCCTAGGCCTTCAGCTGGGTTTTATAAAACCTTTTTGCTTTAGGACTCCACTGCCGTGTGCAAAAAAAAAAGTTCAATCAATTAATCAATTTCAATTTCTTGCAGGGAAAAAAAAGATCTCGCAAAATTGGAATTGATTGATTGAACTTTTTAGTCCCACCCAGTCTGCCATTACCACTGCAGCCACACCCACCATATGGGTCACACCTACCCAATGGGCCACGCCCACCTGGTACCTGACGATATGTAAGTGGGTTTTGGATTGCAGTTTGGGCACTTGGTCTCTAAAAAGTTCACCATCATTGGTATAGAGTCTCCTGCCTGAGCAGGAGATTGGACCAGAAGACCTTCAAGGTCCCTTCCAACTCTATTATTCTATGTTCTGTGTTCTATTCATCTTAATTACTGAGATTCTACCCAACATTTGCCATATTAAGAATTTGTGATTGATCCAAAGCAAAAAGAGAATTTTATGATTGAATGGATATGTGAACTTGGATCTCGATAATGTTCAATGTGTCAAATGAATCATAACTAGTATAAGATGTTATTCTAGCATTGTGGCATATTTGCTTTTTACCTGTAATCAACACTTCTTTCCTTTTTTTGACATTTTCTGCAACCATTATATAAATGATTAAAGTTATACTTTTATTTGAATCTTACAGACAAAGAGGATGCCAGTAAGAACAGTCTGGAAAACTAATAACAACAACCAACATTGAAAAGAAAAACAAATCGAGCCAGAAATTAAAATATTTTCTATTTCCTCCAGAAAACCATATAATTCTTCTCCTTCTCCAGCAGGTGAGAGACAAAAGAGAGGAAATTAAGAAGAGATTTCAAGTTGGAAAAAGTGGAGTATGCAGAACTCAAAGATACATTTCATGAAAGGTCAAGGAAGATTATTTTTACATTCAGAAAAAGAGAGTAATATCTGGCAGTCAGTCGGGAGGAAAAGGTCAATTGGATAGACACATAGGGCAGACAGTAATGCTGACCTCGCCCTGTGAGGAAGGAAACAGTATTTGCAATCAAAGCACCACTAAACAAGGGATCACACATAGTGGAAAAACTGCACCGATGTGCATATTGTGGGAAAAGTGCAGACTTCAAATCATGGCTGATTATGCATGAAATGATCTACATTGGAGAAAAGCCATACAAATTCTCTGAATGTGGTAAAAGTTTTGGCCAAAACAGTTCCCTTATGGTTGATGGAAGGATCCACACACAGCAACTTGGTGAAATACCAGAGGACATACACCAGGGAGAAATCATACGAGTGGCCAAATTGTGGGGAAAATTTCAGTCAGAATTCCCACCTGGTGAACCATTAGAGGACTCAGGCAGGAGAAAAATCATATGACTGTCCAGATTGTGGCAAAAGTTTCATTAGAAAATTCCACCTAACGAGACACCAGAGGACACATACAGGAGATAAACCCTTTGAATGTCCTGATTGTGGGAAAAGTTTCAGTCAAAATTATGACCTGGTGATACATCAGAGGACTCACACAGGAGAGAAACTGTACAAGTGCCCAGATTGTGGGGAAAGTTTCATTCAGAAATGCCATCTAGTGAGTCACCAAAGGACTCACACAGGAGAAAAACCATATGAGTGTCCAGATTGTGGTAAAGGTTTCACTCAAAAATCTCACCTAGTGAATCACCAGAGGACTCACACAGGAGAGAAGATATATGAATGTCTGGATTGTGGGAAAGGTTTCATTACAAAATTCCACCTAACAAGACACCAAAGTCACACACAGGAGACAAGCCTTTTAAATGTCGTAATTGTGGGAAAAGTTTCAGTCACAATTCCAGCCTCATGAAACACCAGAGCACTCACACAGGAGAGAAACCTTTTGAGTGTCCTGATTGTGGGAAAAGTTTCAGTCAGAATTGTGACATGGTGATACACCAGAGGACTCACACAGGAGAGAAATTGCATGAGTGCCCAGACTGTGGGAAAAATTTCGTTCATAAATCCCACCTAGTGAATCACCAGAGAACTCACACAGATGAGAAACCGTATGAGTGTCTGGATTGTGGGAAAAGGTTCAGTCAGAATTCCCACCTGGTGAACCACCAGAGGACTCACACAGGAGAGAAACTGCATGAATGCCCAGATTGCGGGAAGCGTTTCAATCACAAATCCCACCTAGTGAATCACCAGAGAACTCACACAGGAGATAAACCTTATGAGTGCCCAGATTGTGGCAAAAGTTTCAGTCAGAATTCCAACCTGGTGAATCACCAAAGGATTCACACAGGAGAGAAACCCTATGACTGTCCTCATTGTGGGAAAAGTTTCAGTCACAGTTCCAGCCTAGTCATACACCAGAGGTCTCATACAGGAGAGAAACCTTTTGAATGTCCTATTTGTGGGAAAAGTTTCAGTCGGTATTGCAGCCTGGTGAACCACCAGAGAACTCACACAGGAGAGAAACCCTTTGAATGTCCTGATTGTGGGAAAAGTTTCAGTCACAATTCCAGCCTAGTGAAACATCAGAGGACTCACAAAGGAGAAAAACCGTATGAGTGTCCTGATTGTGGGAAAAGTTTCAGTCACAATTCCAGCCTAGTGATACACCAGAGGACTCACACAGGAGACAAACCTTTTGAGTGTCCTGATTGTTGGAAAAGTTTCAGTCACAATTCCAGCCTGCTGATACACCAGACAATTCATACAGGAGAGAAACCTTTTGAATGTCCTGATTGTGGGAAATGTTTCAGTCACAATTCCAGCCTGGTGAAACACCAGAGGACTCACACAGGAGACAAACCCTTTGAATGTCCTGATTGTGTGAAAAGTTTCAGTCAGAATTCCAGCCTGGTGAAACACCAGAGGACTCACATGGTAGAGAAACCCTTTCAATGTGTCGATTGTGGGAAACGCTTCAATCTCAATTCCAGCCTGGTGATACACCAGAGGACTCACACAGGAGACAAACCCTTCGAGTGTCCTGATTGTATGAAAAGTTTCAGTCAGAATTCCTGCCTGGTGAAACACCAGAGGACTCATACAGGAGAGAAACCCTTTCAATGTATTGATTGCGGGAAACATTTCAGTCTCAATTCTAGCCTGGTAATACACCAGAGGACTCACACTGGAGAGAAACCATTTGAATGTCCTATTTGTGGGAAAAGTTTCAGTCAGTACTGCAGCCTGGTGATACACCAGAGGACTCACACAGGAGAGAAACCATTTGATTGTCTTGTTTGTGGAAAAAGTTTCAGCCAGAATTCCAACCTGGTGAAACACCAGAGGACTCACACGGGAGAAAAACCCTTTGAATGTATTGATTGTGGGAAACGTTTCAGTGTGAATTCTAGCCTAGTGATGCACCAGAGGACTCACACAGGAGAGAAACCGTTCGAATGTCCTATTTGTGGCAAAAGGTTCAGTCAGAATTCCAACCTGGTGATACATCAGAGGACTCACACAGGAGAGAAACCCTTTGAATGTCTTGATTGTGGGAAAAGTTTCATTAAAAATTTCCACCTCATGAGACACCAGACGACTCACACGGGAGTGAAACCTTTCAAATGTCCAGTGTGTGGACAATACTTTAGGCATAAATCATCCCTTATTGCCCATAAGGAAATCCACATGAGGCAAAAGTTGATGAGTTTAGAGAAGGCTTGAATTTTATTTCTCATCTCTCATTAGGAGACTATTTGAATTCTTGTCAATTCTTAGTCAAACACATCTCCACATTACTCATGTAGGTGAATAGAAAAAAAAATCTTAGTTTGATAAAGGCTAACTTCCTGTTTTATGATTATTAGCAGAAGTTTTTTGATATTTCCTTTTTCAGAAGTTGTTGAACTCCTCAAAAAGGCTTTTGAGTGGTGTTTTTTCTATATTGATTATGGAATTCCAACATGTGGAGTTTCCGTCTTCTACTTTGGTGTCCTCCAGATTTTGAGCACCAGAATTCCTGAGCCACCATGGAAGAAGTCCTCAAGATACAATTGTAATGGGGTCTGCCAATTATGGTTACATGTTGCAATGGTTATTAAGCGAGATTACCTTACTTAACTGCCCCCACTACCTTCTCTCCCTGATGAAGCCGTTAAATGAATGTGCAAGTCACTAAGCGGAACAGTGACTACCTCCGGATTAGGGGAAGCTCTTGGAGGCCTACCCTGCCCTACCCCAATTTTTGGGTTTGTGCCTGGAATTCATCCCTGGGCCATGTGGACTTGTGGAAACAGCTGCTATTTTGCCATGCCTGTCTCTGCGTCAAAATGGTAGCTGCTTCTGGATTACTGTTGCATGGGAGTGGGACAAACTGTTTTGCTAACTTAACACTTTGTAGACCATGTTAAGGAATTGTGGGTGACTGCCTCTGGGAGATCTCCAAAAGGACAGGCCATATATCCCTGGGATGCATGATAAATGAGCAAGTACCACTTGAGCCAGTATTGTGCTGTAACTGCCAAAAAACACCAACGCAGTCCTAGGCTGCATCGACATGAATAGTGTCAAGACAACAAGAAATGATAGAATTGCTTTACACTGTGCTGGTGACACCATGATACAAACAACCCTATGATGCCATGGTTCTGTGAATTTAGAGGCTCTTTAGAAAATAAGTACCATGAACTTGTTTCTGGTAAAGGGACTCTTAAAAAAACAGTTATTTTATTCGGAAAATTAATATAAAGTACAGATTCTGAAAAAAGATTTTTTTCAAAATCAAAAGGATAGTGAAAACATTTTTTTAGAAAATGTGCATTAAAAAAAGAAAAACAGATTTACGTAAATTATACCCCACTTGAATATTCATAAATATATTGGAGCAATATTAGTTTCTTCCCCTTGTGTAGCAGGCCCAAAATTTATAAACTTCTATCTCTGTTTATAATCAATTCAACGTTCATCTATCTATGATATGTAAAGGCAAAGTAATTAACAGGTGAACCAACAGCGAAGCTAAACATCAAAGCACTTTATTAACAATCTACAGAGAATGAGGTAGCTGGATGGAGTCACTGTAGGCGTGAGCTTAAATGGACTCCAGAAGATGGTAGAGGACAGGAAGGCCTGGAGGAACATTGTCCATAGGGTCACGATGGGTCGGACACGACTTTGCAACTAACAACAACAATTGCATTTAACTTGTATAAAGTTTAGAACAACTTCTTATTTACCACAAATCACCAGAATTATTGTCTCTTGATTCTTATTAATATAACTTTTCCTTAAGATTTTAGTTGAGAACAATAAGCCAACAATTGGTTGATCCATTTTCCCAAAAAAGTCTAGTCCAAATTATTTTTCAGTTAGATATGGTATGGTATGGGAATGGTAAGTCCATTCCCCAGTTACCGCCAACTTCTTAAAGTCCAGCTCATCACGTAAAGTCTGTTCACTCCAAATCCTAGAACTTACATCCCTTTCAGCCTTCTTCAACCAATCTGCAGTTTCCAAGCCATGGTGAGGAGACTTTTAAGAAGTGACTGTGCTCCTCATGGCAGCTTCTTGGGAAGAGCTCTGCTCAAAAAGCCATCCCTTTTAGGGAGTGAGTCATCCATTTGTGTGCTCTCATCAGTCCCAAACGAAGGGGACCTCCCAGAGTAGAAATATTTTCCCCCACCACAATCCTTCACATTCTTCTGGGTAATCCACCAGCTGGGTACAACAATTTCCTCCCCATGGTGCTTCCAGCAAATGACATCCACTGCAAGTGGCTTTTTTTCTGGGTGTAATAGAAATAATCCTCTGTCAGGGAATTTCACAGCAAGTTTCCAAATGAAGTCAGAGACATTGACACAAATTTGTAGTTTATTTACATAAATATATTTAACATTTATATTTACAGCAAACAAGGCGGTCAGGAACACAGGAACATCATGAGGTAAATTCAAACAGCACATAGAACGCACAGAAGGGGAAAAAAGTGGGAAAATGGGAAACTCCCCCTTTACACACACAGCAACCAATCATAGCTCAGATTGCCTCACACAGGAGCCAGCACTCTCCAATAAACTACAACTCCAATCAACTACAACTGTTACAAGTTTGTAACAGAATTCTGATAATGCTATGAATTCTGCTTCAGCTGTGGAAATGGCAGTGGTAGTCTGTTTTTTAGATTTCCAATCATTGTACAATTTTACTGTTCCAGTTACTAAATTTAATATCCCAACACCCTTCCAATTTTTAGCTGGATGGATTTTAAACCAATTGTTTCACAAGATCCTTGTGTTTCTGTATACTTAATGGCTTTGTCATGAGGTCAGCTAAATTATTTTCTGATGGACAATAAATTAGGTCTATTACATTTTCTTTCACTACTTCTCTGACATTACATTATTTTATGTCAACAGGCTTCTGGTTTTTACTCTCTCACCTGTTGCCATTTCTGTACATGTTACGTTATCCTCAAGTACTGGTAAAGATCCTTTCACTTCAATATCGAAATCCTTTAATAATTCTACATACCATGTCATCTCTGAACACAATTCTGATAGCGCTATGAATTCTGCTTCAGCTGTAGAAATGGCAATGGTAGTCTGTTTTCTAGATTTCCAACCAACTAGTGCATTTGCAAACATTATAACAAATCCTGACATTGACTTTTTATCTTATACATCATCAGCCCAAACTGTCTACAAAGCATTTCAATTCCAATTCACTTGACGGTTGTAAATGCAATTCTAAATCCATGGTTCCTTTTAAATAACACAGAATTCTTTTAATTCTTAACCAGTGTTGTTGTGTAGGTTTTTATGTGTAGGGGCTTAAAATGCTGACTAAATTGGTAATATCTGGATTTTACCATTGTGATAAATATGGTATAACAGATGTTCTATGACTGCCTGATAACAGTTCTGAATTACAAACTGTTCTATTTTTGATGGTTTGAAAATCTGGTATCATGGGAGTTTGCACACTTTTACAACTTTCCATATTTTTTTAACATTCTATTTTCTTCTTTTTACTTAGAATAGGGGTGTCAAACTGCCAGCCCGTGGGCTGGTTGCATCATGCAGAGGCCGTGCCCATCCGAGCTCCAGTAATGCGAAAAAAGTCAGGACACATCGCAACACGTCACGTGACTTGTCAAGTTTGACACCCGTGACTCAGAACATATCCTCCTTCTTGTAATTGCTTTATTTCTACTTCTAAATAGTTCTACGATGAACTATAGCAAGAACTGGATATGTCTAGTCTAATAGAGAGATGGACTAGGGGTGACATCATAGCAGTCTTTCAATATTTCAGGGACTGGTGCAGAAAAAGTGGGATGGACCTATTGTCCAAAGCACCTGAGAGCAGAATAAGACAGAGGGAGACTTATCAAAAAGAGGTGCAACCTAGAATCAAGGAGAAAGTTCCTTTCAGTGAGAATAATTAATCAGTGGAAATGCTTTGCTTCCAGACGTTGTGGGTGCTCCATCAGTGGAGGCTTTTAAGAGGAGATTGGACAGCCACTTGTCTGGAATTGTATAGGGTCTCCTTGGAGAGTTGCTGTCTTCCAACTCCTTTTATGTAGTTCTGTAAGAACTTCATAAACCTTTAGACCAGCGAAACGCTGTAGACATAGTTTACTTAGATTTCAGTAAAGCATTCGACAAAGTAGACCACATTCTACTGCTTGGTAAGCTAGAAAAAGGTGGAATAGACAACATCACCACAAGATGGATTTCTAGCTGGCTGACAAACCATACTCAATAAGAAGTGCTCAATGGTACTACATCCACTTGGAGGGAACTAAGCAGTGGGGTACCACAAGGCTCCGTTCTAGGCCCAGTACTCTTCAATATCTTCATCAATGACTTAGATGAGAGAATAGAAGGGGAACTCATCAAATTTGCAGGTGACATTAAACTGGCAGGAATAGCCAACATCCCAGAAGACAAGCTCAGGATTCAAAAAGATCTTGACAAACTGGAACAATGGCCCCTATCCCACAAAATGAATTTTAATGTGAAGAAAAGCAAAGTTTTACATTTAGGCAGGAAAAATCAAAGATATAAGGAAAGATTAGGTGAGAGGGACCTTGGAGTCCTAGTAGACAATCACTTGACTATGAGCCAACAATGTGCAGCAGCCACCAAAAAAGCTAATACAGTCCTGGGTTGCATAAACAATCATAGAATCAAGATCACGTGAAGTATTAGTACCGCTTTATAAAACTCTAGTGAGACCACACCTGGAATACTACAACCAATTTTGGTCACCATACTACAAAAAAGATGTTGAGACTTGGAAAAAGTTCAGAGAAGAGCAAATAAGGCCTGGAGACTAAAACATATGAAGAATGGCTGCAGGACTTGGGTTTGGCTAACTAGTCTAAAGAAAAGAAATAGGGGTGACATGATAGCACTATATCAGTATTTGAGAGGCTGCCACGAAAAAGAGGGGGTCAAGTTATTCTCCAACGAACCAGAGGGCAGGACAAGAAACAATGGTTGGAAACTAATCAAGGAGAGAACCAACTTGGAATTAAGGAGAAACTTCCTAACAGTGAGAACAATTAACCAGTGGAACAGCTTGCCTTCAGAAACCGTGGGCGCTCCACCTCAGGAGGTTTTTAAGAAGGGACTGGACAGTAATAATAATAGTAGTAGTAGTAGTAGTAGTAGTAGTAGTAGTAGTAGTAATAATAATAATAATAATAAAAAATAGTAAATAATAGTAAAGTTGGAAGGAACCTTGGAGGTCATCTAGTCCAACCCCCTGCTCAGGCAGGAAACCCTATACCATTTCGGACAAATGGCTGTCCAGTCATTTGTCTGAGGTGGTATAGTTTCTCCTGTTTCGGGGGCGAGGGGGACTAGAAGACCTCCAAGGTCTCTTTCAATTCTATCTATTCAATTCCATTCCTATTCCCTTCTATTCTATAAGGCTCAGCACGCAGCCAATCTTCACAAACTACGTAACTTCACATTTCAGTATTTCACTTTGATCAGTTGAAAAGGTAGGTTTGCTAGGAGTCGAAAACGACTTGATAGCATTTAATCAGTGAAAACATCTTGCAAAAACGCCTTAGGTAGAGACAGAACAAGGGTTTCTTCCGCCTCCTATCCGGAGCTGGCAGTCAAATACAGCGTAAACAGAGGACTCTGTGGTTCAGCTTAAAGGAGTTAAAACCATCGAGTACAGCCTTGCTAGAAAAGATGGGAGGAGAGGAACTTCTTCCGGATCACTCATGAATGGAGGCTGGTGTGCAGAGAGGCCTTTGTGCTCTTTCCAGGGTCGAAGCAGCAGCTGGAAGGTGAGTGGAGGGCAGGTCGGAGGAGAGGCCGGGAGCAAGCGGGGCTGTTTCGTTTCCTCCATGGCGTCCAAGCAGAGAAGCAACTAGGCTGAAGCATCTCAGCTGCTGCTGCTGCATTTTCCTTCCCTCCCCAATTTTAAAGTCCACTGGTGCTGCACGCGGTTAAACTGGGGGCTACGATTTTCTGCTGGTGGGAAGATTTAAAAAGTCTCCTTCAAGTGAAGGTTGCTTCCTTGGGAACGGCTTCCCTCCAGAAGTTGTGGGTGCTACATCAATGGAGGTTTTAAAGAAGAGATTAGACAGCCATTTGTACGGAATGGTATAGGGCAGGGGTAGGCAACCTTGGCTCTTTTATGACTCGTGGACTTCAACTCCCAGAATTCCTGAGCCAGCATGGCTCAGCTTGGAAACCTCTCCCTTTCCCCTCAGCATGGCTGGCTCAGGAATGGTGGGGGTTGAAGTCCACGAGTCATAAAAGAGCCAAGGTTGCCTACCCCTGGTATAGAATATCCTGCCTGAACAGGGATTGGACAAGGTCCCTTCCAACTCTGATATTCTGCAGTTTTTTGGTCAACAATATCAGACTGGTCTGCATCTGCTCTCTTCTGAGGTTTTTGGTTTTTTACTTCCATGTCTAGCGAACAAACACGGTGTTTCCTATTGGTGCCCCATCTATGTATTAACCAGCTTCCACTGTGCTTAACCCAGCACTTTGTTAAAAAAAAAAAGAAGCTATTGAGAACTTTTTGGGGTGTTCAGTTGTCCTTGCTTACCACTTGTTCCCTGAGACTTTAAAGTTACAATGGCATTGTGAAAGCAGACGTACACCTGATCCACAAATTTGTTATTACCATAGCACAATCAGTCTTACTTCAGCTGTTCCTGTGGTTATGAAGGTGCAGGGAAATGAGTTGCACCAATTCAGGTGTTGCCAACTGCTGCACATTTATGATGGTTGCAGCGTACGACACCATGATCCCCATTTGTGACCTTCTCACTAGCTTCTGAACAGCAAAATCAATGGGGATGCCAGCAGGAAGTTGCAAGTCACGGTCATGTGAAATTGCCTTTAAAAACTCACAGTGATTTGTTTTAACAACTGTAGAAGAACAGATAAGTTGGCACTGTCAGTGTGACATTGTGCTTAATCATTGGGCTGCTTAGTGATATAGATATCGGTTCCAATTGTGGTAGGTAAGTGAGGATTACTTGAATTGGGATGTCACCAAAGTACTTGTGGGCAGTATTTTCTGCCCTTATTTGGAGCTGAGGACTGCCATGGGCAAAACGGGTGCTTCAAATCTTGCAGAGGCTTTAGGCATCATTTCACCAGTCAAGGGACCCACATTTAACACACACCTCAATGCTGGAGACAAGCAAACTCATACAACTTCAGCCTTTATAGATGATGATCAATTGATCAAGGGACTTGATTAGCAGCACTTGGCTGCTACTTAGCCTCTTCATACCGATGGAAGCAGTGAGAGTGTTTTACGTTTTTCACTTTTCGCTTCTTCACTTCAGCTTTCTTTTTGTAAAAAAAAAATGATGACATGGGTGTAATATAGACATGTCAAACACAAGGCCCGGGGGCTAGATGCGGCCCACGAAGTGGTTTCATGTGGCCCGCGAAGCCATCCTTGAAACAGTGAGGGAACGGCCCCCACTGCCTTGGCCCTGGCCCAGGGCAGACGGCCGGGAGCCAATGTACAATTTTGTGGTAGCCATCTATGCTGAAACGCATTCAGTCTCCCTCTGACTTTGCCCTGGTACCCATCATGAACAATCTGGCTAAGGAGAACAAGCACAGCAGCAGCAGCCTTGAGGAGGAGGTAAGTGCAGCTGGGCATCCCCTTGGGGAAGTGGGGCTGGGCTTGGGTGCCTGAGGGTGCCTGAGGGCCAGGCTGGGCATTTGACCTCTGCTGCCCAGGGCTCTGGGCAGCCTGCACCATCATCCAGTCCCCCCCCCCCACATGGCTGGAGAGGAATAGTGAGGCTCCTCCAGTGGACCATGCCTTGGCATTTGCCCTGGTCCCACCCCCTTCTGCCAGAGACGCTCAGATCTGTCCCACTCCTGCCTAGGTCCCAACAGGCACCATTGACGCGAACATTGTAGAGCTGGCCATGCCCACCCATTAGGCCACACCCACTCCATCCACGCCCACCCAATAGGCCGCACCTACCCTGGCCACACCCATCCGGCCCCCCTAGGGCAACTGCAATGCTGATGCGGCCCTCAGTGAAATTGAGTTTGACACCCCTGGTGTAATATGTCATGTGCTGTTGTTCATCTGAGGTCATATTTACCCATTTTTAAGAACTGCAAAGGACCAGATGATTTTTTAATATATCCTGATATGTAAAATAGAACTCAAAGAGGAGTACTTTCTGTTTCACATAACTGTATTTGATGATAACCCTTTGCAAGGCTAAAAATTTGTGATTGACCCGAGTCAACAAGTGAATTTCATGATTGAATGGCTATTTTGGTAGTCAAACGAGTCATAATTAATGTAAGAGATTATTCAAGCTTTGTGGCATGTTCGCTTTTTCATTGTATACATTACAAAAGTAATGTATACTTTTTTTCACATGTTCTGCAACCATTTTATAAAAAATAAATTTAACATTTCCGTTTGTATCTTACAGATGCCAATAAGAGCACACTGGACAACTGAGAGTAACAAGCAACATTAAAAAGCAAAGCAAATTGAGGCAGAAATAAAAATATTTTCCATTTCCTTCAGAAAAACCACACAATTCATCTCCTTCCCCATCAGGTGAGAGACAGAAAAGAGAAGATCAAGAAGAGATTTTCAGCTGGAAGAAGTAGATTATGTAGAACACAAGGATACATTAAATGAAAAGATCAAAGGAGATCATTTTTCCGTTCGGAACAAGATGGAAAAATCTGGAAGTCAGTGGGGATGAAAAGGTCAATTGGATAGTCACATAGGACAGACAGTAATGCAGGCCTCACCCTGTGAGGGTTTAAATCAATGTACCACTAAACATATATTTTGACCTCAAGCAGATCAGTGGTGGAAAAGATCCATAGACGTGCCTATTGTGGGAAAGCAGACTTCAAATCACAGCTAATTATGCAGGGGAGATTCCACTCTGCAGAACAGCCATACAAATTATCTGAATGTGGTAAAAGCTTTGGTCAGAACAGCTCCTTTTTGGCTCATGGAATTATGCACGCAGGAGAGATACCCTACAAGTGCTTCCAATGTGGTAAATGCTTTAGTGAAAACAGCAACTTGGTGATACATCAGAGGACTCACACCAGGGAGAAGCCGTATGACTGTCCTGACTGTGGGAAAAGTTTCATGGCAAACCCCCACCTGGTGATCCATCAGAGGACTCACACAGGAGAGAAACCCTTTGAATGTTCTGACTGTGGGAAAACTTTCAGTCAGAATTGCAATCTGGCGATACACCAGAGGACTCACACAGGAGAAAAATCATATGAGTGTCCTGATTGTGGGAAAAGTTTCATGACAAATTCTCACTTGGTGTTACACCAGAGGACTCACACAGGAGAGAAACCCTTTGAATGTCCTGATTGTGGGAAAAGTTTCAGTCACAGTTCCAACCTAGTAAGACACCAGAGGACTCACACGGGGGAGAAACCTTTTGAATGTCCTGTCTGTGGGAAAAGTTTCAGTTATACTTCCAACCTGATCAGACACCAGAGGACTCACACAGGAGAGAAACCATTTGAATGTCCTGATTGTGGGAAAAGTTTCAGTCAGAACTCTGACCTGGTGAATCATCAAAGAATTCACACAGGAGAGAAACCCTTTGAATGTCCTGATTGTGGGAAAAGTTTCAGTCAGAATTCCCACCTAGTGATACATCAGAGGACTCATACAGGAGAGAAACCCTTTGAATGTCCTGATTGTGGGAAAAGTTTCAGTCAGAATTCCCACCTAGTGATACACCAGGTGACACATACAGGAGAGAAACTCTACGAATGTCCAGAGTGTGGGAAAAGTTTCAGCTACCGTTCTAACCTGATGAAACACCTGAGGATTCACACAGGGGAGAAACCATATGAGTGTCTAGAGTGTGGGAAAAGTTTCAGTTCCCATTCTAACCTGGGAAAACACCAGAGGACTCACACAGGAGAGAAGCCGTATGAGTGTCCAGAATGTGGGAAAAGTTTCAGTTACCCTTCTGTGCTTGTGAAACACCAGAGGACCCACACAGGAGAGAAGCCCTACAAGTGCTCCCAATGTGGTAAATGCTTTACCGAAAATGGCAACTTGGTGATACATCAAAGGACCCACACGGGAGTGAAACCGTATGAGTGTCCGAATTGTGGGAAAAAATTCAGTTACCATTCTGACCTGGTGAAACACCAGAGGACACACACAGGAGAGAAACCGCATGAGTGTCCAGATTGTGGGAAAGATTTTAGCACCCGTTCTAACCTTATAAATCATGTAGTTTTACACACAGGGGAAAAACCTTTCATATGTCCAGTCTGTGGACAATTCTTCAGGCACAAATCATCTCTTATGGCACACAAGGAAATCCACATGAGGCCAACATTGATGAGTTTAGAGAAGCCTTGAATTTCATTTCTGATCTCCCATTGTGAGTGTAGATGAGAAATTGACTCCTTGAATTCTGGCCTGATTCTTTTTTTAGTCAAACATGTTTCAGGATTAGGCTTGTAGGTGGACAGAAAGAAGTAGAAACTATTAGTTTGATAAAAGCTAACTACCTGTTTTTCGTTTTCAGCAGAAATTTCTGGATATTTCCTTTTTCAGAAGTTACTTAATTCCTCAAAAAAGCTTTTGGGCGGCATCTTTTGTATATTGATTAAGGAATTCTACCTTGTTGTCCTCCAGATGTTGAGCCTCAGAATTCCCCAGCCATCATACAAGTAGTCCTTTGGCCTACCAATTACAGTTTCATGTTGCAACAGCCGCTAAAGGAAGACTGCTTTTCTTAACTACCCCCAACCCTTTGCTCTCCCTGATGCAGCCCTTAAATGAATGTATGAGTTGTTAATGGTACACTGGCTACCTCTATGTTGGGGGCATAGTGTAGGCCCAGTCTTGGCTTCCAAAGGCCTCCCCTATCCCAACCTTTGGGTCCCCACAGATCTTTGCTTCCCTCACAGAGTCCACCTGGGACTTTTCACTCCCACTGGGTTTCTGCAATCCTTAGGCCTGACTCCCACCCCACCAGGCCTCCTCCTCCTTACCTTTTGATGATCTCTGAACCTCATGTTGGGGAAGGAGGGGAGGACACACATCCCTGGGCCACATGACTGTATCATGGAAGTAGCTGTTATTTTCAGTGTGCCTGGGATTCATAGACCTGTGGAAGCAGCTGCCATTTTGCCACATCTGCTTCTGGGTCATGGTCATGGAGAAACTGTTCTATTTTGCTACATTAACACTGTTGAGACTCCATTAGGGGATTGTGGGTACACTGAAAATGATGGCTGTCTCCAGGAGATCTTCAAAAGGTAAGTGTGTTGGGTGACAGGCATGTGGGGAGTAGGCCCAAGGCCCAGTGAAAACAACAATATAGAATTTCACATGTAAAGGCTAATGTGCCTTGCAGATAAACCTGATGGAGAAGAGCTTTTAGGAATATCCCCGAAGATGCTTTTTCATGAGGCAACTGGACTTCGTTTTTCTTTGAAGACCTTTCACTTCTCATCCAAGAAGCTGCTTCAGCTCTGCCTGGATGGTGGAGAATGGAAGGATTTATATTCCTTGAAGACAGCTGGTCATTTGCATTCTTTTAGGGCAGGGGTGTCAAACTTGCAACGTCATGTGACGTGTCGTGACATATGACTTTTTTGCCATTTCTGACAATGGAGTGGGCGTGGTTTCGCTATGCATTGTGTAAGAATTAATAGCTTTTGACAAAGAAAAAATTAGGTAGTGTCAGTGTTGCTATGAACATTAGGGCAGGGCAAGACACTCAGAGTGCCCTCAAATTGTGATGTGCAGTGAATACATCTAATAAAATTGTAATGTAAAGCCCTTTTCTCAATTCTTGCTCAGTGATGAAGTCTCCACAAATACAGTACATTTCTAACACACTACAATTGTTAAACTACCTGTAATCTGTCTGTTTTCCATTCTGCAACTCTATGACTAATCTGTCTTCCTCAGCTTCTCATCCCTCTCATTATAAATTTAAAATTTTCAGTTTCAATCTTACATCTGTCCAGCCATTCTATGCCTTTGATGATGTGAGCTGCAGTTAGGCTTCTGCCTCCTAATTTATTGTTGCATTGCTATCTTTTATCCAATCCTAAATTCTATGAATGTATTTCTTTATGCACAGTTAAACAATCACAACAGCTAAACTGGATCTGTTCTGATTGGCATTCGTCTCAGATTCAGGGATGGTTGAGGTCCCCATGGATAGAGAGATGGACACAAATGTTTTGAAATCCTGGGATGAATTGCTTTAACATAAGAACATGGTTAATCAGCCTGAAAGCTGATTCTGAGTGTAACACTTGGGGTATTTGAAGTGCTATGACCCCTTCTTGGTTCTTCTGGGCCCTGCCCCCCCCCAATTTTATTCTTTTTTTAAAAAAAGATTGAGAACTTCTCAATTGATTAAAGCATGTTTCTGTTTTCAATAATGTTTCTGCAGAAACAAAAATGATGGGTAGCTGTAACAGAAGTCAGCATGGGTTTGTTAAAAATAGATCACGCCAGACAAAATTTATTGCCCTTTTTTAAATAAAGAAACTACATTTGTGGATCAGCAAAATGCTGTGGAGATAGTATACTTGGACTTCAGCGAGACATTTGACAAGTAGACCACAACTTACTTCTTGGTAAGATAGAACAATGTGGGATTGACAGAACCGGCACCAGGTGGATTGGCAATTGGCTGACAAATCACACTCAGTGGATAGTCCTCAATGGAGTGGGGTACCTCAAGATTCGGTCCTGGGCCCAGTACTCTTCAACATTTTCCTAAACCAGCGATTCTCAACCTGTGGGTCGCGACCCCATTTGGGGTCGAGCGACCATTTCACGGGGTCGTCAAACAACGCAGTCCACCATTTTTTCCCCTTAGCTGTGCTATTCCCTTTTATTCTATTGGCTTTTGAAAGCCAATAGAATAGACTCTCTAGAATAGAGTCTAATTCTATTGGCATTCAAAAGCCAATAGGAATTGTCCAGGCTGTCTCTGCCCTGCTGAGCCCGCCAAAAGTCCCATTCTGCAAACGGTGCTGCAAGTTGTCTGCAGCGAAGGCGAGCTGTCTGGAAGTTTCCACCCCTCCCTGCTGAGCAACTACTAAAAATGTAAGTAAAAGAGGGCCAGGGGTGAGAGGTGGGAGGCCGGCGGGCGCAGGAAGGGTTGCTGGTGCGCGTGGGGTCCGGCGGGTGCCTTACCTCCCTTGGGCTAGGCCAGCTGGTGGCCCAGCCAATGGTCACCCTGTGCCGTCGCTGCCCCTTGCCAGCTACGCCTCGGCTATGCATGTGCGGCGCTCCCGGGCAGGGAAAGTCCTTGACTTACAACCGGTTGGGTAGGCCTCGACTTACAACTGGTTGGGTAGTCCTCGACTTATGACCAGTTGGGTAGTCCTCGACTTACGACTGGTTGGGGGTCGCGGCATTAAAAAGGTCGAGAACCACTGTCCTAAATGATCTAGATGAAATTCCTCAAATTTGCTGACAACATCAAGTTTTGGGGTAAAGAGCCAACGTTTTAAAAGATAGGCTCAAGATCCAGAAGGATCCTGACAGACTTGAGCATTGGGCCAACAAAATGCAGTTTAATGGTGAGAAAAGTGAGGTCCTGCACTTAAGCAAGAAAAACGAATTGCACCGATAATAGAATAGCTAGATTTTTTTTTTGAACCAACACGAACAGCAAGGTTAAACATCAAAGCGCTCCGTTCACCGTTTATTATTGTATTTAAGTTGTATAATGTCTACACTGGCTTCTTCTTTACCAAGAATCACCAGTCATTTTCTCTGATCTGTCCAGAATCTAATATCCTTGTTTGATTCTTAATAATAATTTTTTTTTCCTTAAGATATTGCTTGAGTCATTTCCCAATAATTGTGTCTTATTACCCAAAATCATAAACCTCTATTGTCGATCCATTTTCTCAAAAAGGTCTAGTCCAAATTGTTTTCCAATTAGATATGGTCAGTCTATTCCCCAGATACCACCACCTTTTTTATAATGATAATAATAATAACAACAATAATAATGTTGGAAGGTACCTTAGAGGTCATTTAGCCCAACCCCCTACTGAGGCAGGAAACCCTATATACCATTTCAGATAAATGGCTGTCCAGTCTCTTCTTAAATACTTCCAGTGTTAAAGCATTCACCGCTTCTGAAGGCAGGTTGTTCCACTGGTTAATTGTTCTAACTGTCAGGAAGTTTCTCCTTAGTTCTAGGTTGCTTCTCTCCTTGGTTAGCTTCCACCCATTGCTTCTTGTCCTGCCTTCAAGCGCCTTGGAAAATAGCTTGACTCCCTCTTCTTTGTGGCAGTCCCTGAGATACTGGAACACTGCTATCATGTCCCCCTTCGTCCTTCTCTTCATTAAACTAGACATACCCAATTCCTTCAGTCCCCTAATCATCTTTGTTGCTCTTTTCTGTACTCTTTCTAAGAGTGTAAACATCTCTTAAGACAGTCCAGTTCATCACGCATCGAATCTATTGACTCCTAAATCTTTGGGAGCCACAGGAAATCAGTCATAAAGATTTAGGATATAGAGAGGTTTTGATCTCCACTGAGAGCCACACCCCTTTTTTAAAAAGTGCAGGAATCTTTAGATCAGCGTCCAATTCGCAAACTAACACCTTCCAAATGTTCTTCTCCAGCTGCCTAGGAATAATCGAGGCTGAATTTTTACTCTGGAAATTGGGAAGACTGCATTAGTCAGATTCAGGCTCCTCGTTAATACAGATAGGGAACTAATATTGCATGTTCCATTATTCTATTAACAGCATCCAATTAGCAAGCTGACCATCATTTAGGGACTCTGCACATCAGTACAGATCCTGAGCTTCTGTATCCCAGAACCTAATTAATTTGTGTAGCAGGGGGCACAGGGTGGCAGCACACAGCTGCGGCGATGCTCGCCTTTCTACTGGGTGTGGGGGTCCCTGGGGTTGCGGTGCTCGGTCAGAAGTCGGGTGCAAAGTCCCAGAATGGCTGCTGGACTTGGGAATCGTCCAGAAATTGGCAGGTGGAGGGGGGGGAGAGAGAGAAAGGAAGAGAGAAGGAGAGAGAGAAATACTTGCTCAATCCGTTGCCGCCATAGCCAGATAATTCCGGGCAGAGCATCCAGCCTGGAATGGAAGAGCTGATCCGGGGCCTGGGGGAGGAAGGATTGTTGTTGTTAGTTGCAAAGTCATGTCCGACCCATTGTGACCTCATGGACAATGTTCCTCCAGGCCTTCCTGTCCTCTACCATCTTCTGGAGTCCATTTAAGCTCACGCCTATGCTTCAGTGACTCCATCCAGCCACCTCCTTCTCTGTCGTCCCCTTCTTCTATTGCCCTCAATCTTTCCCAGCATTAGGCCCTTCTCCAGTGAGTCCTTCCTTCTCATTAGGTGGCCAAAGTACTTGAGTTTCAACTTCAGGATCTGGCCTTCTCAAGAGCAGTCAGGGTTGATCTCCTCTAGGATTGACCGGTTTGATCGCCTTGCAGTCCGGGGGACTCGCAGGAGTCTTCTCCAGCACCATAGTTCAAAGGCCTCCATTCTTTGTCGCTCAGCCTTTCTTATGGTCCAACTTTCACAGCCATACATTGCAACTGGGAAAACCATGGCCTTCTCCAGTGGATCACATTTTGTCAGAACTCTTTGCTATGACCTGTCTGTCTTGGGTAGCCCTGCACAGCATAGCTCATAGCTTCATTGAGTTACGCAACCCCTTCGTCATGACAAGGCAGTAATCCATGAAGGAGGAGGAAGGATAAAGAAGCGCAATAGAGAGGTGGGAGAGGAGGGGATAGTGGAGACAAACAGAGAAGGAGGCAAAGTAAGTTGTGAAAAAGGTGAAGGAAGAGAGGCGACAGAAGAAAATGCAGGACCAGAAAGAAAGTGGAGAAAAGACGAATAAGGAAGGGGGTAAGAAGAAAGAGGGGGAGAAGGGAGATAATCAGAATAGAAATGGAAGGACCTTGGAAGTCTTCTAGTCCAACACCCTGCTTAAGCAGGAGACCCTATACTATTTCAGATAGGTGGTTATCCAGTTTTTTTTCTTAAAAACCTCCAGTGATGAAGCACCCACAACTTTTGAAGGCAAAGCTGTTCGACTGGTTAATTGTCCTCACTTTTAGGAAGTTTCTCCTTAATTCCAGGTTGCTTATCTCCCTGATAAGTTTCCATCCATTGTTTCTCGTCTTGCCTTCGGGTGTTTTGGAAAATAAGTTGACACCCCTCCGTCTTCTCTGTGGTGGCCCCTTAAATATTGGAATACTGCTATCATATCCCCTCCCCCCCCAGTCCTTCTTTTCTCTAGACCGGCCATACCCAATTCCTGCAACTGTTCTTCATATGTTTTTCTCTCCAGGCCTTTAATCCTCTTAGTTGCCCTTGGCACTTTTCCAAAGTCTCAACATCTTTTTTGTACTGTGGTGACCAAAACTAGATGCAGTATTCTAGATGTGGCCTTACTAAGGCTTTATAAAGCGGTACTAATACCTCACGTGATTTTCATTCTATGCCTCTGTTTATACACCCAGGATTGTATTAGGTTTTTTTGGCTGCTGCCGCACACTGCTGGCTCATGGTTAAATGGTCGTCCACTAGGACTCCAAAGTCCCTCTCATAGTTACTGTTTTTGAGCCAGGTTTGGCCTAATCTGTACTTGTACCTTTGGTCTTTCCTGCCCAGATGTAAAACCTTGCTTTTCTCCACATTAAATTTTGTGTTGTTGGATAGGACCCATTGTTCAAGCTTGTCAAGATCTTAAGGCAGGGGTCTTCAAACTTGGCCCTTTTATGACCTGTGGACTTCAGCTCCCAGAATTCCTCAGCCAGGCACACAGAATTCC